ATTGAATTAATTAGCTTTTCATCGACTCATAAAGCTCGTTAATCACCTGACTGCATCTGTAGTGCACATGTTTGAGCTCTGAGTGTTTGCGATTTCAGTCCTGATGGAAGTTACGTGGCGGCCGGTTCTGCAGACGGCGTTCTGTACATTTGGAACGTTCTGACGGGGAAACTAGACAAAACCCTTGATAAGGGTCACAGGTGAGCAGGACCACACACACACTCTCGCACGCACACACACACTCACACAGACACTCACAAACACACACACAGACACACTAACAGTCACAGACACACAAACAAACACACACACACAGACACACGCACGCACACATGCACTCGTGCACATGCAGTCACTCTCACGCACACACAGACACACACACACACACACTCACACAGTCACAGACCTACAGACAAACAAACAGACACTCACACTCACATGCACACACACAGACGGACACACACACAGACTCGCACACACACTCACACTCACACAGACACACACACTCTCACAGACACACGCACACATGCACTCGTGCACATGCAGTCACTCTCACACACACACACGCACTCACACACGCGCAAGCACAAACTCACACACACACACAGGCTGTATTTAGAATGGAATACTAGTGTACATCTCACTGCATTCTGTGCAGAGTATTCTATATATATATATATATATATATACTAGTTGTCTAGCACAAACACATGCACTCGTGCACATGCAGTCACTCTCACGCACACACAGACACACACACTCACACAGTCACAGACCTACAGACAAACAAACAGACACTCACACTCACATGCACACACACAGACAGACACACACACAGACTCGCACACACACTCACACTCACACAGACACACACACTCTCACAGACACACGCACACATGCACTCGTGCACATGCAGTCACTCTCACACACACACGCACTCACACACGCGCACGCACAAACTCACACACACACACAGGCTGTATTTAGAATGGAATACTAGTGTACATCTCACTGCATTCTGTGCAGAGTATTCTATATATATATATATATATATATACTAGTTGTCTAGTCTAGTTATAGTTCTTGTTATTGGTTCTGAAAATTTGCATTTTTTAAATTCAGTTTTTTGTAAGATTACTAAACTTTTGGTTTATTTATCACAGTGTTAATTGAAAATCTTAAGTGCATTGCATTGTGGGATACAATCACACTTTTCTGGTTGTATACTGCACATTTTAGGAAATGTAGAGGGTCATCTGGGTATTATTACATGTTTACAGCAAATTCACATACTCTTCACTGGAAAAAAGAAAATACTAAGGAAGGACAATTATTATTGCAGTTTGTATTTTCAAACGTTGAAGTCTTGCTAATATAGGACGTTTACGTCTAGAGACCATATTAACGTTTTGTGTATATGTACACTTCAAAAACAGTATGCATAGTATGCCATTCTGAACATACTTGTGTTTATGAATAATTTACAGCTGTACAAATGCATTTTCGCTAAACTTGGTCTTTCTGTCCTGTTTGTAGTTCTGCCATTAATTCGGTGTCCTGGTCTCCATCGGGCGCGTACGTGGCCAGTGTTGAGAAAGGCAGCAAGGCTGTGCTCTGGTCTGACATGTGAGCTCTGTTCCTCCGCAGTGATTGGTTGAGTGCTGCCCCGCCGGGATTGGATGAAACGGACTGTAAAGACAGAAAGAAAGTGAGCCCACCCTCACGTCCCACTGTCCTCTTGAACTACCTTTCCCACAATGCCGTCTGTTCGGCTGTCTGTGTATGTGTGATCGGACAGCACCGCACACGTATTATACATATTTATATCAGCTTTCATGTACTGTCTGTCTCACACACTCGATGTGAGATGATGGAGATTACGCAAGTGACTCTCACTGTCCTACATGACTCTTACTGCTTATTTTAACACTGCTTTAAAATAGTGTGTGTGTTTGTGTGTGTTTACGGTCAGAGTTTATGCTTTGGTTTTACAGATACAGGCCATTAAGCTGAGTGTGAGAGTGTGAGAGTGTGAGAGTGTGAGAGTGTGAGAGTGTGAGAGTGTGAGAGTGTGAGAGTGTGAGAGTGTGTGTGTGTGTGTGAGTGAGTGAGTGAGAGTGAGAGTTTATGCTTTGATTTTACAGATACAGGCCATTAAGCTGAGTGTGAGAGAGTGAGAGTGTGAGAGTGAGAGTGTGAGTGTGAGAGTGTGAGTGTGAGAGAGAGAGTGTGAGAGAGAGAGTGTGGTTTTTGTATGTTGATGCTCTGATTATTATCACATTCAAACGAACATTTTTTTTTTGGCATGCATAAGAGATTAAAAAATATTTCCCACTATTCCTTCCTATAGTTGATATGTTTATTTTAATCAGCTGATTAATAGGTGTCAGTTCGGTAGAGGAAATGATTTATAAACCATAGTTATTTCTAGACACCTTATTTAATTTGACACAAATGAAAACGAGACTGTCTCACTTATTGTTTCAGCCAATCACAGCGCTCTTTGTCCTAAGCCCCTCCCCTCACATCCCAGATGAGCGTGTGCGTGTGATGAACGGGTGTAAAATGCATGCAGCGACGCAGAATGTGTGCGGTGAGAAGTGTGTGTGTGTTTTAGTGGAGAATGCTCTTTTGTTCTTTGCACACAAGCTCATATCCTGACAGCGTTTCCTCCGAGCATGACGTCTGTTTCAAATACTGTATCAAACTCGGAATTTTTTCAAAAAATGTAAGTATCAATATAATACATACACACATAGTAACTAGTTATAGTAGTTTCAATTTACTGTAAAGAAAACGCACTATATTTATTTTATTTTATATATAATAAATATTTTACATTTCAGGTTTTACTCTCAAATTGGTATAAAATTATAAAAAATTATAAAAAAAGTCATGTTCCAAATTTGAAGTTGATATGAAAAAAATTGAGGTTCCTGTGAGATTTTATTTAGGGCGTTTACTATTATAATCATATAATTACTAAATGTATTAGTAGAATATTATTAGGCTCCAGAAATATATGATTTATGATAATTAATAAAAGATTTGATAGAGAAAAAAGACAACAAAAAAGAGCGCCAAACGTCCGAAAACAAATATACAGTATAGTAGTAACTGTGGTCAAATCTATTATTATTATTATTATTATTATTTTGAATCAAGTGAGTCTGCAGTCAGTGTTAGAATTTTTATTAAAATCCTATAATTAATATATAATAGGAGGAGAAATAAATGTATATATAAATATGCCGTAGTAATTAGATACTTTATTATTATTATAGTTTATAACAAAGTGAGTCTACAGCCAATGTTTGAATTAAAATTATTCAAATTGGACTTTAGACGTCTTATAAATAACAAATATATAGTAGTAATCATGAAGATTATTATTATTGTTATAGCTTTTTATAAAGTGAATTTGCAGTCAGTAGTAGAATTTATTCAAATTGTAACATTAGACTTCATACAAATAACAAGTATTTCAAATTATAATTATTTTTATTTATTATTATTATTATTATAGTTTTTAATAAAGACGCAAAAGTGGAATTTTTTCAAAAAATGTAAGTATCAATATAATACATACACACATAGTAACTAGTTATAGTAGTTTCAATTTACTGTAAAGAAAACGCACTATATTTATTTTATTTTATATATAATAAATATTTTACATTTCAGGTTTTACTCTCAAATTGGTATAAAATTATAAAAAATTATAAAAAAAGTCATGTTCCAAATTTGAAGTTGATATGAAAAAAATTGAGGTTCCTGTGAGATTTTATTTAGGGCGTTTACTATTATAATCATATAATTACTAAATGTATTAGTAGAATATTATTAGGCTCCAGAAATATATGATTTATGATAATTAATAAAAGATTTGATAGAGAAAAAAGACAACAAAAAAGAGCGCCAAACGTCCCACAGGTGGGACGGTGACAGTTATTAAAATAGGACATTAGACATCTGAAAACAAATATACAGTATAGTAGTAACTGTGGTCAAATATATTATTATTATTATTATTATTTTGAATCAAGTGAGTCTGCAGTCAGTGTTAGAATTTTTATTAAAATCCTATAATTAATATATAATAGGAGGAGAAATAAATGTATATATAAATATGCCGTAGTAATTAGATACTTTATTATTATTATAGTTTATAACAAAGTGAGTCTACAGCCAATGTTTGAATTAAAATTATTCAAATTGGACTTTAGACGTCTTATAAATAACAAATATATAGTAGTAATCATGAAGATTATTATTATTGTTATAGCTTTTTATAAAGTGAATTTGCAGTCAGTAGTAGAATTTATTCAAATTGTAACATTAGACTTCATACAAATAACAAGTATTTCAAATTATAATTATTTTTATTTATTATTATTATTATTATAGTTTTTAATAAAGAGAATTAGATTTTAATATTAGATTTATTAAAATCTTATAACAAATATACAGTAATTATGTAGCTAGACGGTAGCTAGATATTATTATTATTATTAATTTATATTTATTATGGTTTTTAATAATGCGAGTCTGCAGTAGCATTAGAAATTGTATTAAAAGTGGACATTAGACATCATATAAATTACTAATATATTTAGTAATTATATGATTATAATAGTAAAGTTATTATAGATAATTAATATTAGAGTAATTAATGTAGTAACAGGCAAGCAAACATGTTGTTGTTCCTCTAGATTAGTGTCGTGAGTCATCGGCTCAGAGCTGAAACTGCGGAGGACTGTGTGTGATTATTTATAGATACATATTCACTACTCTTAATATTAGGATTTCAATATTTAGAATATTAACTGCTGACGAGGAATATGAATACACACAGCCTTCCTGCAGGGAAAACAAGAACTGATCAGACGCATATTTTGAATACAATGAAAGTCACTTTGGATAAAAGTATCTGCCAAATGCAGAAATGTAGGAAGTATTTTGTGATCATCATTGTTTCTGTTCCTGCTTTAGCAGACAGAATGAGTCCCAAACACGTCATCTACAAGAAACTCTCCAGAGACAAGTCTGTGAGTCTCTGTCCGTCTTTCGTTTCGTTGTGTGCTTCAGTTCTGTTTTGTGTAATTATATGTCTGTGTTGTGGACATGCCATAGGTTTAGTGTTAGTCACCAGTGATTGGTTAACGGTGTGTGATGTCACAGGTGGGCGTGTACATGGAAAAGCGGGATTTCGTGGATCACTGTGAGTTTGTTGATCCTGTCGGTGAGTTAAGCAGCCAATCACAGCTCACATGCAAATCACGGCTCTCAACGTGCGTCCACACCAGACTTTGATAGTAACAATGCAAAGTGACTATATGGGCAACAGGATATGATGGCATGCTTATTTTTGTATTATAGAAGTTCCAACTTCTGTTGTGCCAGCCGAACCCTAAAGTCCAACTTAATATTTCAATAATTTAACAAATAATGTGCCTATTTGTGGTTCTCTGGTGTCTTTTAATGGTCACGTGACATGTAGGTAAACAAATTTTTATTGTAATTTTATATATATATATATATATATATATATATATATATAATCATATAATCATTTTATTTTTTACAATCAATTATTAGCTTTTCATTAACTCATAAACCCCCAGTTTGGAAAAACACGTTTTAAGAAATGTGACCCTGGAGCACAAAACCAGTCATAAGGGTTAATAAATAATATTTCCATTGATGTATGGTTTGTTAGGATAGGACAATATTTGGCCGAGATACAACTATTTGAAAATCTGGAATCTGAGGGTGCAAAAAAATCTAAATATTGAGAAAATCATCTTTAAAGTTGTCTGAATGAAGTTCTTAGCGATGCATATTACTAATCAAAAATTTACTTCTGATATATTTACGGTAGGAAATGTACTAAATATCTTCACGGAACATGATCTTTACTTAATATCCTAATGATTTTTGGCATAAAAGAGAAATGTATAATTGTGACCCATACAATGTATTGTTGGCTATTGCTACAAATATCCCCCAGCGACTTAACACTGCTTTTGTGCTGCAGGGACACAAATAAATAATGAAATAATCTAATCAATTCCATTTACTCTACTGCAAAACTTTGAATTATTTTAACACCGTGAAGCCTGAGAAATGAAATAAGTCAGAAAAATCTTTTATTTAATTTTTTTATATGGAAGAAGTTAATTTAACCTTTAGACAAAATATTTTTAAAAAATCTTAAAATATGTTTTTTGTTGAGTATCATATTTGATCCATCATGCTTTTATGGCTCATGTAGTCTGATGTAGTGAGAATATAGAGGAAAAACAGCTCAGTTTTATTCAGAGACTCTCAAAATGAAAAAAAATATGCAATTTGGTGCAGATGCTGATATTTATATGATGAAATTCTGATGCTTGTGATGTAAATCAATGAGATCTTAATAACAGTATGGCAGATACTTATATAAAATGATCTAAATATCAGTCGCCGCTCTATATCTCCAATAATAAGATGAGATTGAAATGCTCCAAACATATAATGCAGTGATTGAGAGCTGAAGAAATAAAGGCTCCTCAGAAGATGTGAGATGTTCTGGAGGCTTGTGAAGATCATTCCTCCGCTGAGGAACAGTGAAAGTAAAGCTTCTGGAAACAAACGCTCCTCAAAAGATCCTGAGGATCAGATTTGAGACTCTAAAACATGATTGATGGAGAATCAAGTAAAGTTGAGCTGCTTCAGTCCAGCAAGTGTTCATCTGGAGATATTACTGCAGTTATTCTGACGCTTACTTGAAAGAAATCAGTCAAGCTTTGACACGAGAAGCTCCAGCTGAAGCTGGACATTTCTACAAGAGCTTTTACTTGACAAAAAAAAAACTCTCAATCAGACGACAGAAGACATGGAGGAGATTGAGTGTGACAGGTTAAACCGTAGAGTTTGATCATGTTGATCATTTAGAGGCCTTAATTTGCATGATACAGTAGACTTTATAGGGTTAAATGAATCTGATCTACTGATAGTCTCTCATGTGTGTGTCAGATGGTGTTGTGCTGATCGACCCCGAGCAGGTGAAAGGAAAGAAAGGTGAGACTCGTTCACAGACAGATGGCAGTGCGGAGCTGCTTTCACACCTGTGTGGATGAGTTAAAGTCTGTGTGTTCGTCTCCTCTAGTCTATGTCATGCTGTCCTGTATGTTCCGGTACGGTCGGGATGATATGGATGTGTTGGGGATGTGTGTGTGTGTGTGTGTGTGTATGTATATGTATATATATATATATATATATATATATATATAACTGAAATCATGGTATGTAACAATAACTATTGGATTGTTTCATTGAATACCTTAATAAAAAGATTTAAACACAGAATACATGCATATTAACAGTGTAAACATGAATTAGCCATGCGACCATATAATATGATTAAATGTTAATAAATTAAGTGTATCAGCAATCATAAATTTCTTAGAAATATATTTTACCTAGGTGACGAGGATCACTCA